TAAAACGAAATTAAGATAATATTTGCTCATATAATTCTGTTGGTTTTGACAGAACAGGAAAATTAATATGTAAAATTTACATATTATGCAATGCTTTAGAAATGTAAGTTGATCCAGTCTGGTTGAGTGAAGGGCTTTGTGGAAATTTCCCTTTGATTCCATGAATTGGACAATAAATTGCATAGGGAATAAATCACAGACAGCTTGGATGGACTGTAATAATTAATAGTCTATAATAATCACCATTTTTGAAAACATGCACGTGTTGCAATGGTATAGCTTGAGAAGATAATGGTGTATCTGTTTCTTTTAGTCTTTGTTACTCCATTCTTCTGTTTTAGTTCCTTGCTCTCATGGTGATGAAAAAATATGTACTATGAATTGTTTTTTTTCCTTAAGCTGTCTTTTCTGTCAGAGGTAGATAAATTACTAAGGTCTTGGTTAAAAGCAAAACACCAACATGTACATGCAAGGCCATAGTTTTTTATTACTTTCTAGTTCACATTTTGCGGTAATATATGCATCTATCACTTTATGTTGGCCAACAGACTCCTTTTTTTCCTTTTCATTTTCTAATATACAAGAAAAAATGTTCCAGTTCAGAACATACTTCTTGCATGGTATTAAAGTCAAATGCTAAAACCCCCGGCCTTAAAAAAATTAGTATTTTTTGATTGCTAGGTGGACAATACTCTCAGTGGAATAAATATTCTAGTGTGTGGAAGATTCTTACATGAAAAAAGCAAGTGAATATTTGTAATGCCAGCAACGGATGATGTGAAGACTGTTCAACTCACAGCGTTACTGCATTCTTGCATCAGCTTGTGGCTCTGAAATACTTTCCCCAGAAATATTTAACACTTTAGCAGTTTTAAAGAGCAGGACTCTGAAATAAAATGTAGATTAGGTGGGATACTTGTTTGTTACTGTTATCTTTAAAACTTGGCTCCTTAAGCCAGTGTATAGCACAAATGGTAAAGCACGTGTGCTGAGTTACGTGCATGTATGCTAACCAGGTGCTTAGGAAGCACACTGTCCTTGAAACTACCACTTGTTTTGAGAGTTGTTGCTGCATTTCAATTCTGGGTTTTTTTGCTTTTTTTTTTCCAATAGGGATATCCTGTATCCAAATGGGGAATTTTTGAACCATTCCTTTGATGAGAAAGAATAGTATATCTGGGAAGTGAGAACAACTTCAAATTTTGTAATTGATTTCCTGCTAGTGGAGGAATTATAATTTTCATCTGTGTAGAAAATGATTAACTGAAAATTGCACTCGGCTTGTAAACTTCTCTACTATGAGCAGTTCTGTGGAGGAGTTATTTATAGTAGAGAGTTAAGCACGTGTGTAAATGTTTGCAAAAGATGAGCCTAAGATCATTTGTCTCTGAATGCACTTGTTTCTTTCAAACTGATTCCTGTAATGAAGACTCAAACTTTAATTTATGCGTATATGTTGTTTTGATGTTGTTTTGTTCTGTAGGGTAGTAGTATAATTTTTTTTTAGCATTCTTTTTTTATAGTAGTTTTCTTCTCTCGCTTAGACAACCAGCACCAATTGAACATGAGGAAATAAAAAATGAATCTCAAGTCTTGCCAAGTTTTTGCCAAGCAAGCTTGGTAACATTCTGAATTACCAAAGAATGTTAAAATATAATAAGTTAATAGTGCTTCTGTTTGCCAGCAGAGTTGTTAAGATAGGTAGTTCATATTTTAAACTGATAAATCTGGAAAGGAAATTAAACAGTCCTTGAAAACATTTTGGTACTTCATAAATCCCAAGTATACCTTTATTTTTCTCTCTTTTGTATTTGTGTCTCTTGTTCTTTCCTTTTCATATGAGATTTGATTTCCCAGCTGCTGGCTATAAAGAACTTTGCTTTTATTAAGTAGTATGCTGATTAGGGAAGTGGAATTATAAGACATCTGCCTATATTCATAAATACTAATGCCCATCATTCTATGCTTTTCATTTAAATGGTTTTCGAAATTCAAATATTTGAACTTAGGTATGTTTGGGGAATTGGTTAATATTTAGAGGCATTATTTGTTTTAAAGGATCATAAATCTGTTGATATAAATTTCTCATATATGTTTCTTCTCATATTTTGCAGTTTTTTCTTACCCATGCAATCTGTAGAAGAAACTGACCAGACCTTTGGTAAGATATTTCTATAAATGTTACTGTTTAGTGTTAATCATTGTAGGTCTTTTTCCTATTACTATGTTTATTTTTGGAAATCTAATAAGCTATTGAGGAAATAGTTGGCTTAAGATAAAATTAATACAATGTTCTAGGTGCTTCATGGATGTTGAAAGAATAACTGCCTACAATAAATACTGTGCTGAATTATCTGAAGGGAGGACAAAAATGTTGTAAAAAAATTTGTGCATTCATCTTTTACATCTTTTTTTTCCACTTTCTCTCAGAAACTCAGAAAGAATCTCAAGCAGCAGAAAACAAATCTTGGCCTAAAGATGAGCTGTAAATATAATAAGCAGATGAACTAGGTAAGCAAGTTTAGTACTATCATGAGATAATGTTAGTTTTCCCATGGTTAAGGTTTTGATGCCTTATAACATGCAGAGATCTGCAAACTGTTTCCTTACCACCTGTCCTTTAAAAGAAGGTTTTCTATAAAACAGGTCTTCATACTGGTCTTGCAGCTTAACATTAGAGGAAAAAACACATTAAGGTTCATTCGGTCAGTTGTTGGGTTAGGCTTTTCTTTATGAGATCAGAAAGAAGATTATAAATGAAACAATGTATAAATAGAATCCTAATCTACATTTAACAAGTGGATATCTTCCTGGAAAATGGTTTAATTCTCAATATCGTTTTAGTTTAGGATATCCCCACAAATTCCTTAAAATGATCATCTTACTTCATGAAGATCAGCGCGGCCAAGTCAGATATGGTGATGCACTTTCTGAGCCCTTTCTAATAACCAGCGGTGTGAAAAAAGGCTGCGTTCTTGCACCAACCCTATTCACAATCTTTTTCAGCATGATGCTCCAAAGGGCCATGGCAGACCTTGATGAAGAAGATGTATCTACATTTGATACCTTACCGATGGAAACCCAAGGCGACTGAAGGTCCACACTAAGACCTTAAATCATCTTGTCCAGGAGCTGCTTTATGCTGCTGCTGCCACCCTCGTCGCCTACACAGAAGTAGCTCTGCAGTGTTTAACATCCTGAGCCTGAGGCTGCTGAGCTTTTTGGGCTGGAAGTCAGAAGTTTTCTATCAACCTGTACCTCAGGAAATCTTCCATCATCCCCATATCACCACTGGTGAATCAGAGCTCAGATCAGTCCAGCAGTTTAATTACCTAGGTAGCCTCATCTCCTCGGATGGCAAGATCGACGGAGAGATAGACAACAGGTTAGCAAAGGCATATAGAGCTTTCGGAAAGCTTCATAAAAGAGTTTGGTGAAATAAACACCTGAAGAAAAGTACAAAGATCAGTGTTTACAGAGCCATTGTGCTGTCTACTCTTTTATATAGGTTTGAATCATGGGTCATTTACCGATACCACCTGCGACTCTTAGAACGCTTCCATCAACACTGTCTCCATACAATCCTAAACATCCACTGGTCAGATTATGTGACTAATACGTCTGTTCTAGAACATGCAGCAGTTTTGAGTATTGAGGCCATGTTGCTGAGAACACAGCTGTGTTGGGCAGGACACGTCTCAAGGATAAAGGACCACCGCCTCCCTAAGATCTTGCTTTATGGTGAACTTGCCACCGGCTGCCACAAGAGAGGAACCCCGAAGAGGAGATACAAGGACTCCCTGAAACAACATCTCAGCCTTGGCCATATTGATCATCATTATTTGTCTACTCTGGTCTCCAATCGGGAGGTCTGGAGACACGTTATCTTTAACGCTGCTGCTTCTTTTGAGAACATATGCAGGATCACTCTGGAGGAGAAAAGACAATGCAGAAAGAATCGTGTCTTGTTGATACCACCTAAGGAGTCTTTCTGCCGTGCCTTTTGCAACTGGACTTGTCTATCTTGTATTGGCCTTTTCAGCCACCAATGCGCTTGTAGCAAATGTGGATAGAGTCCTTCTCAAATCTTCCTTCGCGAAGCCTAGCCATGATGATGATAGTTCTCAGTTATCTTTTACTTGGTGGTTTATGCACTTATTTATGAGCTAAAAACTTGTCTCATTTTTTTCCTGAAATGATTTCTTCTAAAAATTTAAATACTGCTGAAGTTATCAATAAACATAAACATTGTACCCAGTTATGTTCTGGGATAAATAAAGCTTGTGAATGGACAAAGAAGAGTAAAATTCTTTATATTTATGATTCGTTTAAAAAGATATGTGACTGAAAAATAAATTAGAAAGGCATTTGCTCACAATAATTGTGTTCTTCGGGTTTTTATAAACTAAGGTAGCCAGTCTGACCAGACTTGCAGAATTAATTACCCTGGTGTAGCTGGAAGACCTGGGCCCAAAAGTGGACCTAATTTTCATATTGAGATAAACATGTTTTTCAAGACAAAGCACTTTAAAATTAATTTTCCCCACTGTGTTGTTCTGTTTCTGCCCGTCTTTGTTATGCTATGATTATACTTGTTTATTTTGTTACATACACAGGCTTTTAAGTGGAATTCAGAAGAATCCTTTCTATCGACGGCACTGCTAGTCTGTTTTAAAGATGTTTAACAGTTTGCAGGAAACAGAATTGTGGAATGGTTAAGGTTGGAACGGACCTCTGGAAGTCATCACAATATGGAAAAAGCAGTACAAGGGTATGGATTATGAAGGTCAGTTTCATGTAACAGATGCAGACATTTTGGCAGCAATGATGGCTTCAGTAGTTCCTTTTCCTTGCTGCTTGCTCTTGCTACTGGATTATAGTGAGCTGTCCCAGACAAAAATTCTATGTGGGAGGACTCTACAAAGAGAATCACAGATCTTAGATTAATTTCTGTCTTCCCTCTTGTGCTGGTTTTAAAGTAAACTGATGGACAAAATGCACCCAACTCAAGAGATTACAAGTCAGACTTACAATTTACTAAAAAAAAAAATTACAATAAAGGCAATGATACAGGGAAAACTGGTTTTAACCCACAAAGACAGATGTATAACCCCGCACCCCAGGACAATAACACAATGGTGTTCATCCACCCCTGTGCTGACCACCATGTGGTCCCCCTGGAGGTAAAGTAAAAGGAAAAGAAACCTGTTGGTCTGGATGATGATCGCAGTTCTGTTGAAGTGATGATCATAGTCTTGTCGAGAGTGACTGTTGCAGTCCTGTTGAAGTTCTGGTCGTCCTATGAATCCTACAAGTGGTACTAGAAATCCCAAACCCCCAAGATTATATGTGCTCAGGTTCAGGTGGGAATGTCCAGTACCTCCCCCAGGGTTATTTAACTCTGTGAGTCATGGGATATTTTTGGAGTCCTTGATGGTCTAGGGGACCCCTGGTGGCCTAGTGGTTAAAATGCGGCACTCTCACCGCTGCGACCCAGGTTCGATTCCCCGGTCCCCCGGGCAGATGGAGCATGTGAGGCCATCCATCTATGAGAAGGTCACTCTAAACAAACCTATGTCCTGAGGACCTCACTGCCATTGTCCAAGCTTGCTTGGCCCCGGCAGATGAACCTTAGGATTAAAGGGTGGGCTCAGTTCAGCGCATGCTGTGTCTCACCTAAAAAATCCATTGCGCAGGCTGGAAAGGTAAAAGACCTTTCCCCAAATCTTCGTTCGCGAAGACTGGCCATTATTATTGATGGTCTAGGTTGTTGAAGCTGCCTATTATGCCAGTCCAGTATGGCCCATTAGCAGAGATGACCCCTTGGGCTGGGTGTGAAGGTGTTAATTCCTCCCCAGAGGGCAGTTATCACAGCTGAGTCATTGGTGTGAAGACAAAGAAACACTCCTCCCAGAGTTCTTTAACACCCACCTTGTAGCCTGAGTCGTCAGGTGTGCCCTGGGCAGCTGCTGCAAATGATCCATTATTAACAGTCCTTCAGAAATGACATGGAGAGTGTAGAATACACAGTTTTGATTATACCCACATAGCGATAAACTGGTTCCAGCCTCTATAATTAGGACACCTCCACATTTTTTTTTAGTACGATTTTTTCAACATGGATCAGTTATTTGATTTATTTCACAGTGTGAAAAAAACAATTTTTTGAGCAACTAAGCACAACTAATAAATAGAAATGAGCAGCTGTGGGTGGAAACAGTAGGAATTCCTTACATCTGTACTCATGCTGAAGTTCCTGTATTTAATAAACATAACCTTGAAGAAGCTTTCCTAAAAATATCGTCTTTTAAACTATACATATGTTTGAATTAGCTTAAAAATACAGTACAAATTGCATATGTGTTCGCGCTTTTCTTACTTTATTAGTTCTACAGACTAATATTATGATTTTGATGCATGTTTGATTATATCTTTGTAATAGATTGAAATACGTTCATCTTATACACTATTCAGAGAAATAATTTAGGTAGGGCACATTGGAAATTTTGTTTTATCACACTTTTCTGCTTATTCCTTATACTGAATAGCTGTAGGCACTGCTGTGATATGTGTAGTGACAGCAGGTATAAACTGCTGTAGTTTAATTGAACTCTGTTCTTCTGATAGTCAGAGCTGCTTATGTGCCGTTGCTCCTTGCATTTCTCCAGAGAGGGTGTGAAAATATCCTTGTAAATTAACAGTCTGTAATACTGTATTTGTCTGTTGTTCATAAACATTTTAGGCTCCATCTTGGGATGTGCTACAGGTAGAAGGAAAAGCACTGTAAAAAATTAAACTAGATGAAGTTCAGAAAGAGCTTCAAGAAGAACATCACTTGCAACAATCTTTGGCTCCTCAGGCCTCAAATGTCAAGTAATTTTTGAATCTTATTTCATTATTATGAGAAAATTACTGAAAATATATTAAGTTATTGGTGCATAGCGTAATAGCCGAGTTTGGAGAAGGAATAATGCCATCCCCCCAAATCTGGATCTGAACACTTACAATTCCAAATCTAAATTATCAGGTTTAGTTTGGTACCTCTAGCTTTAACTTTCTGTTTAAGTCCTTGAAATAGTTCTGATGTGGTTTTTAAAATACAAATAGCCTATTCAGTCCTGTTATATGTAGATGAAACTTCTCTTGACTGCATCAGAAACTGAAGTTGCTTATGTGGGGTTGAATTTGTCTATACAATTCCAAGCATAATCTAATCAAAATAATTAAAAACAAACAATGGAAAATACCACAAATTTAATATAAGCAACGCCAGCTGTAAGTCATCATCTTTAAATAGGGAAGATGTATTAAAAATTCATTAACTTGAATTTGTATTACAGTCAGTGCTTGTCTGAAATTCAGGAGATTTTACACGTAGAGCTATAATTTAAGGACAACTGCTTATTACCTTGCTCTTGTCGTAGGTTGTATCTGCCCTTCTATAGTAGGAGTGCAGATTACAAAAGTAGTACAGACCATGTCCTAACTTAACTGATCCTGTCCATCCCACGTCAAGTCAGACTCTTCAGTTTTATGGTCTTCACTGCTAATAAGATCTTTACAGATAGCTTTGTTTAGATGTACTATAGGTTAGTTCACTTCCCTATAAGAAAAGAGGAAAAGAAAAGAGAAGTTTTATTGATTAGATTTTGTTGTTCTTAGGGTTCTGAAAGGTCTATTGGATACAGAAGAGAGCCTTTTTATGGCAGGCCTTAAGTTTGTAAATGGATAATACTTTCAATTAAGTAGCTGAGAATAGTCATGGGAAAAGAATGCTTAAGTTTATGAAACAGTCAAATTGGCATTTAAGTGACCCTTTGCATGCCATTGCTTATCTGCATTGCTTAAAGATCATTTGGTTAGCAAGATTATATATTAAAACAAATAGTGTCAACAGACAATGAGTGTTTTACCTTCAATAAATACTTACTGTCAGATTATCAATGGTGCAGAAACTGCACAATTTTCTAAAAAAACCGTATTTAGTGCATTAAGTGAAGGTAATGTAGGCCACACACATGGTATTGTTTTTTTATGTCCCCTTTTCAAAGAATGATAAATAGTCTATTTTAGGAGAGTGTGTGCCGTAAAAACATTCACCTTTACCTGCAGTATGCCCTAAATATTTCAGTGTACATTGATAAAGCATTCATTTAGTTCATTCAATGAAATGATAACTTCTACACAAGAGCAGTACTGGTAATGCAATTAAAATAACATGCGAATTGGTTTTATTTATTTAAAGTAAATGATAAAACTTAGAGAAAAAGTTCCTGGAAATTTTAAAATTGTTTTACCAGCCATCATTTATGGCAATCATTCCAAATATTGTAAGTTCAAAGTTAGATTGTTTGCCATCTATTTTTGCTTTATTTTGGTTGTGTGGTAATTGCACTGTAGAGAAAGTGAATTGTATTACAGCATCCTAAACATCTGTAAACATTTATGAAGATTATATACTTCCTATTGAGTTAAAAAAGCAGTGTGAAATATTTCTTTCTAATTTTAAATTGATATGATTTTCTTATTAAAGCACTGATCTCTGATTTCACAATCCAAAACAATTACTTGTTTCTATTCATGTTGTAAAACTATTCAATTAGTTAAAAAAAAAATCCTTTGTGTCAAATGGGATTGCTGTAAGCATACCTCAAATCCTAATCAATCTTATATATTGTGTGATTGAGCTGCTTTTCAAACTGGATATTTCATTCATATGTTTAACTTTCACATTTTATTCATAACTTCAATCCTGTTCTCATTCAGGCAAAAAAGCCGCTGATTTCAGTAGAGACTTCGGACTGTAAGATCTGTGAAACTGTCTCCTTGAAGCATAAAGTAACTAGGCTCTTTTCTATACATTAAAATTGTATGACTTGAAAAAATTATTTTGAGTAATTTTAATTAAAATAAAGAGATTTATTGACACTGTTTTCTGTGAGGTTGTCACATGCCTATAAGCCTCTGGACTCAAACTATATTAATGTAGTGCAGATATTCTGATATATGCTTCAGATTATTTTTCAATTGTGAGTCAAAATTCTATTACACTGATTTTCATGGGGTGTTTTTTCTTTACAAGTGTGACTTTTACTTTTTTTTCAGTCTTGTTTTTTTCCAAAAAATGTAAGCAAATATAAAATATTTCTGTAACGTGAATATATATTGCATGATAAATCAATCTTTTGTTTTTCTTTACACAATTTTTTAATTCTTGATGATTTCCCTCTAATAATTTCTGTTTATAACAGAAGGCATAGGGCCTTATAACAAAAAGTCAAGTTGTTGAAAGTGTCATTGCCCCAGAAGAACCTGGGACAAAATAGTTAAACCTGAAAACTGTTAATTTCAAAGTGGAATTTCTACCATTTTCATTTCATTCTCCTAAAAATATGAAGGTACTTAGGAACTTTAATTAAAGTAACCTATATTTGCGGAGTCATTTCTGATTTTTGTTTTTTACGTCTCAGACATTTTCCATATACTGCTCTTCACATTGTAACTGTCTGCATGTTAGACATTTATTAACTTTGTAGAGTTCATACAGTAGCCAGGGACTGTGTTTAGAATTTGATCTGTGGCCTGTGGAAGTCAATAGACTTTCATCACCTTCAGTACAACTTAGATTGGAGAGTTAAATGGTAGAATTTTGTAGTTATTAACTTTTCAAAGGTAGCCAAAGACCTCGTGTTTCCTCTAAAATCAACAGCTCAATTGAAAAGCTAGGAAGACGTTCAAGTGACAGCATATCATAAAACTAATTCAAAGTTTTAAGGATATTTACAGATACTCTCTGCTGAGAGAGAATTTGAATATGAATATATGTGTAACATTTTTACACAACATTTATTCATATACCCAATTTAAGATGTAAACTCTGCATTGCTCGGTTTAAGTTTTCAGTGCAACAAAGGAAAAACCTTCTTAAGTTGCAAGAGGAAAACTGTGACTTCGGCATTTATTTTTTTTATTTTAAAATTATTACCAACAGTTTAGCTTTACCTGTTTTTCTTTTCTAAATAATGTGAGCTCTACTTTTAGTAGAAATTACTAGTCACCTTGTGCCAAGTATTTATGTTTGCAGTTTACATCCTATGGTCTGATGAATGTCATGATGTAGTATTTGATAAATTACGTACTTTGGAATCTAGAGAATAGATATGAAGATTCTTGATTTAATTTTTTTCACTTTTAGAGGCCTTTTATATTAGGTGCAGAGAGGCATGGACAATAAAGAGGAAGAACCAATATACTAATTTGAAAGAGCAAGCTGAAAGGAAAAGTTATGAACTTACTTATTTTCTGACTTACTATGATTTAATTCCTTTTGTAATGTACAGTATTACATGTTGAGAAATAACTTTTATGATGTTTCAGGATTTTGTAATTTTAAAGAAGTGGAAAAGAAAAAGATTTGAAAAAATTCTCTTATTTGGTGGATGTATTTTAAAATAATTAGAACAAGGCTACTAAAAGACTTGTATCCTGCGTATTGTATGTTTTTAAAAATAAATTGCATTTTGTAGACATGTTTTAAGTTCTATGCCGCAATTTAGGTTATAAATATATTCTACTCACAAGAGAGGTCCCATTGAAATAACAAGAAATACTAAGCAAATACAGTAAGTTTTCTGTGGATGTAAAGTTCTGCAATAGTAAAAGGTTTAAAGTACACACCCACCAGCCCTTTATCACAGACAGAGTCTTACCTCAATCTTGACTCTACAGACACTTAGGAACAAGCATAACTTTAAGAATTGATTGTAGTTCTCTTGAGCTGAACACATGCACAAAAAGAAACACATACATAACTGGGGCCTAGAAAAACTTGTAGACAAAAGTATTCATTGCATATGTAGTAGGTAGTTATGTGATAATTGCAGGATGTTTAATAAATGAGGAACTGAAGTAGAAGAAAATGCATTATAGCTAATTTTTTCTGAGGCTGACACAGCAGGTAAGTAGAGATCTGACAAAAAATTTGTTCTATAAGAAGTAGTAAGGATGTGTAAATTAATTGTGGAATGAGCCTACTCAGTTTTATCGTGTTGCTATATTACCAATTGTTACATTTGATTGTAGTGAATTCCTAAATATTTGGGGTTTTAAAATTTTTTATTTGTTTTGCAATAAATATTGTGGATATGAATTAATATGAAGCATATTCTTTTTCACTACTTATTACTTTGCTTTTTTGTGTCTTTCTAGTTTCTATAATGATATAAAAAAATTCAGAATTGGAGCCTTAATACTCTCAAGTTATTTCTGATGGTTTTTCAGACTGGCAGTTTGCTACTTCTAGTTTCTGAGTATCACCAGCTCTAGAAATACCAAATTATTGCTTCTAAAGTCCATAGTGACTAAAGAATGGTAGAGTGGTAAATAAGGATAAGGCTTGGTCAGTTTTACAAGGCAATTTGTGTAGCTTGTTAACTTGGGTTCACTTGAAAAAAATGCATTTTAGTGCAGCCAAATGCAAGGTCATAAGGATAAGAATAGGGAATTAGGGTCATACTTTGTAGGAAGAGAGATTGTATCCTGAAAAGCAGCAGTAAGTCTGAAAGGTGCTCTACATTCTTGAAAGATAAGCAACAGAAGATGTCTCTGTAATACTCTCTGAAGTATAAATTAAACACGTTTACCTTAAAATAAAGGAAGTGAGACATTAGCAATAATATAGAAAAGAAGTTTTGGGATTAGAAATATTATACAGAGCTATTCTGTTCCAGGTAAGTGCTCTAACAACTGAGATAGTCATGTCAGTACTTGTTGTCTTTCTTGTCTGCATGACTTTTGCATTCTTTTCTGCTCAGCAACAAAACTTCCTGTACCCGGAATGCTCAAATAATCTATTGGTAAGTGAGGTTTGAATCCTCAGATAAGCAATGAATTCTCATTTCCTGGCTCTGTGCTTCAATAATATATTATCATAAAGAGGTGGAAATGACATCTCTGCTTTTTACTCTTAAAAGAAAAAAAAAAAGCACCTTGCCCCTCCTTGAAAGAATGGATGCATCCACCCTTAGAAGAGGGCTCCATGTTCTGGATTTGAAATGAAAGGAAATATCTGCCTGCAGCCCCTGAAAAATCTAAGTTCCAGAAAGGGTCAGCAGATTTCATTGGCTAAATATGTGATTATTCTTCCATATGAATATTTTTAGGAATGTTGTGCACCTAATTTACTAACAGAGTGTTTCAAATAAAGTTACGAGGGAGCAAGCAGAAGGGTCAATTCCTGTATGTGTTCTCTCTTTTTCTTGACTACTGGTTCTGTATTAAGACTTATCATTATGTAGGTTTTATAAAAGAGAGAGACAGAGAGAGAGAGAGAGAGAGAGAGAGAGAGTTGATCTGAATATATTACCTGTATGGTACAGTTTCTGATGCAAGAGGATTTGCTAAATGAAAACATAACAGACCTAATAGTTGAGATTTCAGTCTAGACAAATTGAGACTGAAATAGCTCTGAAATAGCTGTCAGATTTCAATGTATAGCAATGAAAGTATCAGATTCTGAAATTATCCATTATTTACTGCCTTCAAATCAAGACTGTATTTCTTTCTGAGGTGTTACCTGGGCTTCATCCAGCCAATCATGAGCTTGGTGCAGGAATACTGATGAAATTTTATTGTCTGTATTGTTTAGAAGGTCAGGCTAATAATGATGCTTCTCTCTGCTCTTAAAATATGAATCCATAAGTTGCTTTATGAAAGATTTTAGTAATTGAATTCTTTTGGTGTAGTCAATATTATCCTAAGCATCAAGGATGACATTATTTCAGGGTACAGGATTAGGCCCTGATGTTTCCCTTTGGTTTTTGTGAGCTTCTGCTTTGGTCAGCAATTTGGGTAGCATATGAATATGATTCATGGTCCTTGTTGGAGTGTTTGCTTTTGGTTCAGCAGCACTTCTATCTGTTGAACAGATACATACAGATACATACAGAGAATATAAGGACTCAATGAGAATAAATATACTAATCAGCATTTAAGCAGGGGTCTCAGCATACCAGAAACCCAGTCATTAACTATTTTGCAGGACATGGTGGGAGAGAATTTAAGGAAATTCTGAGACAATAAATCAATGGCTCTCAGGAGTGTGAGAGGCTGTGTAAGGGTAGCAAAAAGGTGTTCAGAAAGGAACCCCCCTGAACATAGGAAGTCAGTGATTGAGTTAGAAGTCACAAAAGTAGAACTAATCATTTTACTGTTTTGGAGATGACAAAAAAGGAAAGGCTGTGAAGGCTTTTAAAGCAGAGGAGCATCTTATATTTGAATGAGCTTTTCTTTTTTTGTTACTTCAAAGGACAGAATAGTGTTCCAAGGAAGTAACTATGGTCTTTGCAGTACCAGTTTGAATGACTGTGAACAGAACAAGATGATGCTTGTTTAGGTTGAGAAACTGATGGTGCAGCAAGCAAGATATGAAATTAGTTTTGTAGAGAACAGACATTAGTTTTGTAGAGAAATTAGAAAAAGCATTTAATTTTAGAATGTTATGAATATCACCTGTGTTCTGAGTCTGTGCTAGCCATAGTGAATGAAGAAAGAAAGTAGTGGAGAGGTCATGAAGGTTGAAAAGGCCAAGGCTCATTAGAACCTTACCTTTCAGTCTTGCTGAGCTAGAACTGGCAGCTTGACGTCCCTAAGAAAAAGATAATCTCATGTTTCTGTTGATGCAGAACAGAGTGATGAATCATGCTCCTATTCATTACCATAGAGAAGGAACCTGTACGTGTCTTTGACTATAAAGTTACTAGACATTGAGTAGAGGAAAATGAGAAGAGAGTAAAGGACAGAACTCCTCGAAATACCCGGGAAGTTGAAGGAGTTACTTGGGAGTGGATCTAGAGGAGGTGAATTGTAGAAGCTATGGGAGGACAGGATTTGAAGATGAGAATCTGATTTTCAAGAAGTAGCCAACAGGTTGAGGAAATTGAGGGTGTTTGAGCTTTATGAATGATTAGAAATTTTTGGGAGGAAAGTTTTAGATTTAGAGCTACATTCCCCAGACAGGAAGAGAATTAAAGTTTAAAAAGAAGTCTACTAAAAGTCTTTGCTGAATTCATTTAATCCCCGAAATCAGGAGAACTAAATTCTTTGGAGGACTGCCATCTAGTGGCACCATCTACAATCACCTGGTTCTCATTTTTAAAACTGGTTGCCTTGTGTGAGCCTTGAAGGTCGAAGGCATCATTTACCTAACACTAATTTAGGTCCGTTTAAGCTGTTCATCTTTCATAACTGACCAACTCCCTTCATTTAGCTAATTTCACAAATGCAAATTTTCTGTCTGGGGGTATGGTTTCTGTGTAGTGGATAGTGAAATTCAAATTACTTTAACCATTTAAATAGTGATAGATTTTTTTTTCTCTAATTCTGAGTTCTTCTGTGAAAGAATCTTGTTTGACTATAACAAAGTCCAAAGACACCTGCAGTGGTAGGATTTTGTGGTAAATCAGATCAAGAAAGCAATAATTTTCTTGCTTTAAAGTCTTGCCTTCACTATGAAAAATATCCACAGGCTTAAAAATATATATAACTTTTCGTTCACATCTGCAAAAAAAATGTCTTGCAGAGCAGGATGCATCATTTTATCAAGATGTAAACTTCTCAAGGTCAGGTACAACTCTCTCCTGAGATTGCCTGTATTAAATTTATTTAATCAGATAGCAAAGGTGCCTTGTTTTGCATTCCTGTTTAATCTTGGCATGCTCTGCAAGCATCAATCTGAGAGTTAAAAAAGCTAATTTTTTTAGCCATGAAAACAAGTATTAAGCTAAATATATTTTTTGAAGGTTATATGTGGATTGTCAAACCTGTTCCTCACAGATATCCTACAAAAATTTTAATGAGATTTATAGCTTCATGTTATGTTTGTTGAGGTTCCTTCGTACAGGAATGCCTGTATCTCCCCAAGACATTCTGATTTTACACTTTTTTACCAGCAGATGGAAACAATATTATTAGATCAGTATTATTATTACTTGGAGCTTTACTCCATGTTGCTTCTCTCTTCCAGAAATGAAAAGTCTGATGTTTTGCATTAACTCACAGTTGATTATTTAATATAAACTCATTGAATTGAAAATGATTTGTGACAGAAGTGCCCTGGAGAAGGACAGCTCTTTTTACATTGTTGCCTTAAAACACTTTTAACCACTAAATGATAAGAAATATTTTGATTGTTTTATACCTTTTTGCATGTTGTATAGCTTCATTTGACATTCCTTTTATGCGGACACCCACCTTGAAGAGTCAGAACCACCTGTGGTGGACTTACTCTGGCTGGACTCCAGGCGCCCATCAAAGTTTTTTCATCAGTCCCCTCCTCAGCTGGGCGGGGGAGAGAAAATATCATAAAAGGCTCATGGGTTGAGATAAAAACAGGGAGAAATCACTCACCAATTACCGTCACAGGCAAAACAGACTTGACTTGGAAGAAAAAAAATTACATTATTACCAATCAAATCAGAGTAGGAAAATAAGAAATAAAATCAAATCTTAAAAACACTTTCCCCCCACCCCTCTCTCCTTCTGAAGATTTTACTCCAGAATTCGCTACCTCTTCGACTGCAGCGACACAAGGGAACATGGGATTGAGTTCATTACATGTTACCTCTGCGGCTCTTTCCTCCTCGCTGAGAAGACTCCTCACACTCTTCCCCGGCTCCAGTGTGGGGTCCCTCCAATGGGAAATAATCCTCCATGAACTTTTCCAAAGGGAGTCCATCCCACAGGCTACAATTCTTCGTGTACTGCTCCGGTGTGGGTCCCCCATGGATCACAAGTTCTGCCAGCAAACTTGCTCCAGTTTGGACCCCTCTCTCCAGGTCCACAGGTCTTGCTGAAAACCTAGTACAGCACAAGCTTCCCACAGGGTCACAGCCTCCTTTGGGCATCCACCTGCTCTGATGTGGGGCTCCTCCACAGGCTGCAGGTGGGTCACTGCTCCTCTGTGGACCTCCATGGGCTGCAGGAGAATCTCAGCTCTGTCACCTGGAGCGTTTCCTCCCCCTTCTTCTTCTTCACTGAACTCAGTGTCTGCAGTTTCTGCAGCTGTTTCTGTCACATATTTCTTTGCTGTCTTCAGTTGCTCCTGCTCAGTTTTTTTCCTCTCTTCTGAAACATATTATCCTGGAGGTGCTCACACCATTGCTGACGGGCTCACCCTTGTCCAGTGCCAGGTCCATCTTGGAGCTGTTTGGCATTAGCTCTGTCAGACATGGAGGAAGCTTCCAGCAACTTCTCGCAGAAGTCACCCTGTAGCTGCCCCACTACCAAAATCTTGCCACAAAAATCCAGCACGAAACAAAATGCTTTGATATAAAGAAAAATTAGGAAGGCCAAACGCTTGTCAGAAGTTTGGATTTCAGTTCTTGCTTTTCTTCTCTTTAAGAAATAGGTCAAAGCTTCCATTTGAAGAATGAAACCTAAAAAGAGTTCAAGAACTACTCCCAGATCTGCAATCATTTTCTCTGTGTAAGAACTACAACTTATGAGTAAGTGCTGCATTTTAAGAATTCCTTTTTTATGACCAAATGTACTTCAAGAAGGATTTTGTTTGTTAAATCAAATGGCTGGTTCTCAGTTATGCTGAGACACCCCCTGCCACTTATTCAGTATTCTGAAAATTTAAATAGGTTTTAAAATGGAAATACATTGCAATTAGCAGAAATGAGAATCAGGTCCACTTTAGCAGATATACCTCGGACAGTAGAATTGCAACTAACAGAAGTAACACTCTTTAATTCCATGAATGCACAAGAAACTTCATGATTGTTTGCAGAAAAGCTCCCCCAAACCTAACACCAGTAGATGTCAGTGTTGCCATATTCCAGTGTGTTGAGAAAAGTCAAATGTTCCATTTAATGTGTTTTAATTTACATATCTATATGGATACCTGAATATATGACATTGAGCATTGATGTTTTAGTTGTTGCTAAGTAGTGCTTACTTTAAATCAAGGACCTTTCAGTTTCCCATACTCTGTCAGAGTCTAATTAAAAATTATTCAATACTTCATTTATTTTTTCATTTATTTTAATTTAGTAACAAGTGTTTCCCTCTGTGCATTTCAGGCAGCGGACATGAAATTGCATTTTAATTTATTTGACAAAGATGTGTTATGCCTAGTTTATAGTGCAGGTTAGTGAATTGGAATTCACAAAACATCTGAGAAGCAATAATTTGTTATTGCAAAAAATACCTGCTTAATAATTAATAACAATTAAACACCAGAGGATAACAGTTATTCTTTAGGTTTTGATTTCATCAGGTGATTCAGGGATGGGGACACAAAGTATAAGAGTGCATAATTGCATTCAGATATTAACTATGTTTCCATATTGTACTTGTAAACATTATACAGAGTCCTCCTGTCTTTTCTTCTGGGTTCATGAATATCCCTCAGTTTATTTTTTCTGTAAATGTCACCAGCAGTGGCATACTTTTTCTATTTTAAAATTTAACTTCCCTACAAGGTCTGGGGTTACTTAATTTAAATTTCTTGTAATAATTTTTAGGGAAGACTGATTTCAGCCCTTTATGAGCTTCAAATAACTTTGAATTAATTTTCCACATCCCTTTGCTTTGACACATATCCTGAGATATGCAGATCTTTTTTCCCATTAAATACAATTTTTTTTCTACAATGTAGTCCCTATGTCACTCTTTTTTTTAATTTACAATTTATATAAAATAAAATCCAGTCCACTAAAACTAAGGAAATGTGGTATATGTCTTATTTCAAATGAACATCTAAATAAATTAAGTTTTCTTTTTTTTAACAGACAAGTTTGATTAAAAGATCAATCTCAGCTCTGGAGATGAATGCTTTTGAAGATGAAACTACGTTAAATATGTCAGCTAATTTCAAAACCAGCATGAAATAATTGAAGGTTATGAAGCAATGGTTAGCTGAGCCAGAGATTGGGAAAAGCTCCTCTACCAAGCATCTATTGAATCATATCTATAATCATCCTCAGTCAATGCAGACAGACATACCAGTAGAAAAAATACCTATTTTGCCTGGACAGATGATGGTGAGAATGACATTGTTTTTGTGTGTCATGGTTTGAAAAGGCCCAAAATCCAATTCTGATTCCTAGCCCCTCTCCCACATCTCAACCCCATGTGAGATGGGTTTTCCAGACAAAAACACGAGACTCAATATGGGGGGAAGGAATATATTACAAAAGACTATACACATAAATAAATACTATAATACATTGCATACAATCTTAATTCTATTTCTATCTCTACCATGACAATAATATTTACAATGGGCCAAATCTCTTCTCCCTCCAAATAAAAGTCCAGGAGAGAAGAAGAAGAAAAGACCCCTTCCAGTCTCTGAGCAGCAGGTCTCTCTCTCTCTAGGCAGCAGGCTCTCTTCTTCTCTTCCAGGCAGCAGTAGTAGTTGCTGGCTCTTTTCCAGCACACACAAGGGAGGCCTCCAAGCCTCTCTTGGCCACCGTCTCCAAACAGGGGGTCTTTCCATGGGCTGCGTAACCCCAGACACGGTCGCTCCACCACGGTCATATCACGAAGCACAGGGGTCTTCGTGACGGTCTGGTATCCTCAGGGGAAATCAAGCCCCTTCACAGAGCTTCTGTGCTCTGACTCAAAGATGGCTGCCAGCTTCTCTGAAGCTGCAGGCGGGGGGAGGGGGGAAGCCCAAGGTCACCCCCTCCACACACATTCCTTTGGCCATCCTGGCTTTAGCTCTCAGGAGGCCATGAGCTTCTTAGCTCCTCTCAGCAGTGCATACTGCACTTTAGGACTCTTCTCAGTCCACCACCCCCTCCTCTTTCTCAGAGGGGTCTCTAGGGAGTTTGGGGGTTTTGGTTTGTCCAGTTCTTACCCCGCAAAACTCTGTTCCTGCTGCTGACTCGGTTCTCTTGTCCTGTTCTCTGCTGCTGGCTCTTTTCTCTCTTTCCTTGCAGGAGTTTTTCTGTCTGCTTCCTTGGTTCTTATCAGTTGGCTCTTTGCCACTGCTCTTCGGATGCTGCTGTCTCCGCTGCTGCTCCCAGCGTCTCCCACTGCTCCCACCGGGGAGAAACTCCCCTAGCTCCTGGCCACAGGCACTCAGTCCTGCTCAACACCGTTCCAAGTCCACATAGCCCCCCCAACCGGGGCTGGGGGGGGGGGCAAAGCCCCAAGGGGCTTCTGCCCCGGCTCCTCGTGGCACTACCACAACATGGCCACCTCTTCTTCCAACAACAAGTACCACTGCTTCTTTTCCGGTCTCCAGAGATATGTTTATATTTTGCAGGAGCACTGATTGGGTCAAGCCCCAAGGGTCACCACCCCCTGGGGGTTACCACTTTACTAGTTTCAGGGGGAAAACCTGGCTCAAACCACTACATTGTGAAATGACCTCAAAAGCCTGGGGTTAAGTACATTGTTTTCCCAAGAAGAAAGAAAAAAAAGAAATCAAAGAAAATAATAAACCCTAGAAAATTAGAAGCTGTGATTAAGAAATTAAGTCAACCCCGAGAGATTCTTTTAAGGTTTTCTTTAATTAATATGTATTGCCTTTTTAAAGAATAGATTTTAATTTCTAGCTGTATTATCTAATTATAGGTTTTATATTTTTAATAATAAATATTACTCTGAAATTAAGAGATAATTAAGATAAATGCTGCTCAGTTATCTTTAGGACTTTTAGTATCTACTGCAATTTAAATGAAATGGCTTCTTGAAATGACAAAAAATGTTTTATCTAAATATAAATGCATTATTAAAATAGTCAAACCTTTTTCTTCGGAAAGATGAGGGTGAAAGGAATGCTCTTGCTAGTTTTTTGATATTTCTTAAATACTTATGTTCTAAGTGTGACCTGCAAAAAAATCCCAAATGTTGTCTATTTTTGCGTACAGTTATATATGTTCACACTGTACTTACTCTGATGTTCAGGTCTGGTTCTTCAAGCCAGTTTTCCATTCAGCTTCTAATTTTTTCTACTTTTAGGCACATTTCAGTAGATTTATTCTTAAGGAAATAAAAGATACTTAAATGGTATGATATGCTGTTATAGTGAGCTGTGAGTAAGGGAGAAGGTCTTGTTTTAGGCAGCAGTAATGTATGTTCTTTGCTGTCAAAGGCTTTAATATAAGCTTTGCTAGACCAAGGGGATTTAATCTTTGTACTGTTTTGCACGTAATTCTTGCATGGGCCTGCTACATTTTCTATTTAATTTTCCTTTCTTTTCTAGTAGGATCTTTGTGTATAAAACATTTTAAATACTAGGTACAGAGTATTATAAATATATATGTATAAAATATTTTCTCTGTATTCCCTTCATGTAAACCTTCTGTA